AATATTTTGTGTCTGGTTTTGATCTTAAAAATGTCTTTTCTTCCTCCTCAATTTGTTCTTAATTAGATTTCTTTACAGTTTAATGTTTTATGTGGGTTGTTTCGTCTGCTGACTGACTTCTGACCTTTAAGAGAGAGGATTCCTTTCTCAGGAACATTGTTTCCCTGCAATTTTCTTCTTTTACAATTAGTCCTGGTTTTTAGACAAACCCAACCCTTTCTCTCCTTATTTTGTACATTAGATGCCCCCAAACGTTTGGGAGTATAGAATCATTTCAGGTATCGTGATTGACCATCTCTGCGTTTGTACCGCATCATCTTCACTCTATTTCCAAGCTTGTTTTCCTTTGTAGTTCCAAGCTTGTTTTCCTTTGCATTTCCTAGCTGTATTCCTTTGCATTTCCAAGCTTTTTTGCCTTTGTATTTCCTAGCTTTTTTTTCCATTGCATTTCCTAGCTTTTTCCCTTTGCATGTCCAAACCTTTTTCCTTTGCTGTTCCAAGCTTTTCCCCTTTGCCTTTCCTAGGTTGTTTTCCTTTGCATTTATCTTTCTCCTTTGCATTTCCAAGCTTTTTTCCCCCTCTGAACCACAGAAAGATTTATTTTAGAAATTGTTATGTCAGTCTTTTTAGCTTTGTAGGAACGTCTCCAAAGTTCCTTCTCCAAAGTTCTCTTCCCCGTGTTTCTAATTCTGGACGTGGAGGGCAAAGCTCAGCACGATGCACCTGCTGGGTTTTCAAGCTGACTTCTTTCGTTTTCCTGATGCATGTTTGCTTTCTTCCTGAGCTTTTGCTTGATAAAACTGGGACCTTGGTTCTTGATTTCTCCTTCTCAGAGCAGTCTGTGTCTCCATGAATCCACTGTGCAGATCTTTTTGTCTCCCAGTCTGCTCCCAATACCTCTGATCCACAGAAATCACTCGAGCTCTTGCAATTCATTAAGTAACAACTGGTTCTAAGTCCCTGGTATGTTTTCTAAGAAAGCTTTAGTTAGGAAGTGAGATTCCCAAAAAAAGCAAACTTGGGACTTTAAGTGTTTAAAAACAAGGACATCCTTTGTTCACAGTGTTACCAGCAACCATTCACTGCCTTGCAGGAAAAGATCACTGCAAACAGTCAGCAGCCTTAGACCATGAAATCCTTTGCTCTGCTTTTATGGACATCTTTTGGTCCAAATGCTGAAGGTGTTTTTTAGGTGTTGTTTTGTGCCTCACAGATCCTTTGCTGCTTAAATGGTCTGCAAAAGCCCAATCCCTTCTCACTAAAGTATCTCTGTCTCTTCTAATATGGACTTCCCTGAGCTAAACGTCTCATTTCCAGTCTCCTGCTTTAGTGCTGCCTTTCTGACTTGGTTTGCTGTTTGACATGCTGGGAATGAGACAGCTGAGAGCTCTCCTGCCTGGGATCAGTTATGGGTAGGGAAGGGAGAGTCAGCACACTGCAGTGTGCTGGTATTGTTTGCACATGTTTTGGGGTTGTCTCTCTCTCCTGCAGGTAAATCATATTCCTAGTGGCACAGTGAACTTTTGATCTGCTTAAAAACTACTGCACTGTCCTTAGCAATAGATTTTTCAGTCATCTGAGGACTGTTAGGAATTGCAATTGCCAAAGACCTGGTTGGAGAGTGGCATTTTTGATTGTGAAACAGCTTCATAGATTTCTACATCTGAAATTCATTTAACCTTTCTGTCAACTACTTTTGTACTTAAGGGGTAATTTTACATGCCTGATTTGCATGTGCAGTTGCTGTGACTGAGTGTGCAGTTAGGGTAAAAACCTGTGCAAACAGCACTGCTTGTCTAGACCAGTTTTACACCTTTGACCACTGTAATAGCAAGTGAGAATGTCATGAATTTAAAGGAAAGAAGTAAGGATGCTTGGCTTAGAAGATCTGTGCCTGATGTCTGAGATCTCTCTAGTATAAAATCATCTTCTCTGGCTCTGCCCTTTTTAGCTTGTTACCTATTTTCCATGATTTCCTCTGAAGGTAGTGCTGCATTTTGTACCATTCCTTACCATTGTGATTAAATAGTGTTTGTGAGCAGTAGGCAGAATCACAGACTGGTTTGGGTTGGAAGGACCTTAAAGCCCATCTCATCCCACGCCCTGCCATGGGCAGGGACACCTTCCACTAGCCCAGGTTGCTTCAAGCCCCATCCAACCTGGCCTGAAATACTCTCAGGGATGGAGTAGCCACAGCTTCTCTGGGCAACCTGTGCCAGTGCCTCGTCACCCTCCCAGGGAGGAATTTCTTCCCAATATCCAACCTAAACCTACTCTCTGTCTTTTCCTGCTCCCCTCAGTAGAGCAATATATGGGATATTTTCTGTTCCAGCTCTGGCACTTGTCATCTTCCTCATACCAGAAGAGCTGAGTATGAACAACTCAACACTCCTGAGACTCTCTTGTCCTAAGTAATGTATATTGCTTTTGATTTATCTTTGAATTAAGTGACATCCTGGAATGTCCCATGGATTATACTATAATACTTCAAATTCCTATCTAGAGAGCTTTTCTCTGAGAGTTTTTTCTGCCTACAATTGGTTCAGTCCCTTTTCCAAACAGAGCAGCAACAACGTGAAAGTCATTAAAATGTAGTTATGAATGAAATATGGACTTTTTTCCCCCAAATAACCACAGAGCACATGATTGTGTTTAATGTGGGACTTGCACAAGTGCTTTTGTACATACTGACAGCTGAGCTTGGGTAAAGAGTTAAAACACAACTATTTTTATTGGCTATCACTGCAAACATTTATCAGGCCATTTCTCTGTGTAATTCATATTAGTAATAGATGAGGCTGAGAAATGTGGTCTCAGTATTTGCCATACAGAATGTGCTTTCTTTTTGCTGACACCTATGGAAAGCAAAGTGGTGCACAGCAGCAGATGGTAATTTCAGCGCATTTTCCTCCTTTCCTACCCCCACCTCCTTTTTGGAGACACAAGGGAGGGTTATAAAGTTCTCTGAGTTGTTGCTGTAACTTAAAATTCAGAAATCTTGGGGCCTTTAAAGCCCTTTTGAGTTAGATTTTTTTATGCCACTGTTTTCCTCCCGTATGTTCTCTATTTCAGATTGTTCTTTAAATGATCTGCAAAAAATTAGAGCCTCAAAAAATGAATGTATTTTAAAAATTATGCCATAAAAGTCAGAGTTCTCCACTTGGCTGTGTTAGACCTTGCAGATTGCAGGGTCTGAAGGCTCTGAGCTGATTTGTAATACAGAGAAAACTATGAAGCTCTTAGGTTGTGCAAACCTGGAATTCTGTGACTCCAGGCTTCAAATCATTTGTCTTGCAGGAGCAGAGCATATCCAATTCTATACATTCTATATACAACAGTTTAAGCAAGTACTTCACAGGATTAGGATCCCATTTGAGAGTAAGATTGAAAGCCCAGGAAGTGGAAAAGATTCTTTTACTTTGCAGGACATGGAAAGGAACTGATACCAAAAGGAAAATATGCATTTTAGAGATCCTTCAAGCATTGTTATGTTGAGTCAAAGCATCTACTGCAGCTTTGGCTCGTTTAGCTGCAGTAGTGCACATCTGAATGTGGGAAGTTTAGACCTACTGAAATGTTAGAGACTCTTAAGTGTTCAGATAGTTCTGTTTGAATTCACAGGGTTTGAACCTTTGCATTTACTTTTTCATAGGATCACAGACTAGTTTGGGTTGGAAGGCAATGTAAAGATCATCTCATCCCACCCCCTGCCATGGGCAGGGACATCTTCCACCAGCCCAGGTTGCTCCAAGCCCCATCCAACCTGGCCTGGAACACTGCCAGAGATGGAGCAGCCACAGCTGCTCTGGGGAACCTGTGCCAGTGCCTCAGCACCCTCACAGGGAAGAATTCCTTCCCAATATCCCCCCTAACCCTGTCCTCTGGCAGTGGGAAGTCATTCCCTCTTGTCCTGGCACTATCTGCCCACATAACAGTCCCTCTCCCTCTTTCTCATATGTGCCAGTAGTGACAGGATTTTTCAAATGTTTTTTTTTCTGCAGCCGCGAGGATTATGTATTTTCATATCACACAGTGCTAAGCTCTCAAGGGTTTGTGCCTTAAGGAAATCTAACCCACTCCGAAGCTCACAATGAAATGGGACAAGTATGTAGTAACACGAGGAGGACCTCAAAGCAGCTGACAATGCACAACATGTTTCCTTCTCAGTTTTAAAGCCTTTTATCCAGATGTTGAACCAAATATTGTCATACCTGACATCTTTTTGCTCTCTCTATTCCTGATCTAACTGTGCTTCCCCTCTGGGTGCAGAGGCTGCATGTGATGACAAACCTGCCTTGAGTTGGCAGCAGGACTCTGGGGGTGCTTTGCTTCCAAACACTGAGCTCAACCCAGGAGTCAGCACTGGGTTTATGCAACAGCTTGGCAACTTAGCACCAAAGGCTGCAAAGTGCATGATGTGGCTCTTTAAGTGACTTAATGCTAGGAGTAATGTTTGCAGGAGATTCTCATTTGGTGTTGTGTTTTTATTGGATTCTGATCAATTTTGAACAGAGCTTTAAAAGAGTTTTTTTTATAGGGAATTTTATATGGTTTCCTACTTATCAGACTTATTGTGAGGCACTATCAGTGAGAAACACTTATCAGACTTATTGTGGGGCAATAAAATCAAGAAAGCTTTATCCAGTTTTGGTTTGGAGTGCTGAATCCTTCTGGTGGTGTTGCAGAGATTGGATGGAGTAGTGCAGATTCCATGGATAGAAGTGCAAATTATAACATTTCATGGACCTTTGGCAGTTTTACATACAGAAAACTGTGCATATGTATGATCTCTTAATTTTGGGAATAGTTTTTGAACCACATCACTGTACAGCTCTAGGGGATTTGTACAGTCCTTGTATTCATTTAGGCACTGTGGGCACATTCTAAACTGCTCAGAGTTCCTGTCTTCACCTTGTGTGTGAGACTTTGTGTGTCATCCTTGTGTTTTCTGGAAAATCTAGATTTATGCTGATTTTTGCCCCTTTTCTCTGTCATTGCAGGTCATCTGTTCTACAAATTTGGCATCACAGAGTCTGACTGGTACCGCATCAAGCAGAGCATAGACTCCAAGTGCAGGACAGCCTGGAGGAGGAAGCAGCGAGGGCAGAGCCTGGCTGTGAAAAGCTTTTCAAGGAGAACACCTTCATCATCCTCTTACAGTAGTTCAGGTAACAAAACAACCCCCTCAAAGCCAGCCAAACTCCAACAGGAAAGAAAACTTAGAGTAATAATAAATACCTCTTGTTTTGCCATATACCTCAATGTTATTTGAATGCCTGAGTTCTCTGAGGTGCTGAGATCATGGAATCATGAAATGGTTTGGGTTGGAAGGACCTGAAAGCTCATCCAGTTCCACCCCTACCATGGGTAGGGACACCTTCCACTAGCCCAGGCTGCTCCAAGTCCCATCCAACCTGGCCTGGGGCACTGCCAGGGTTGGGGCAGCCACAGCCTCTCTGGACAAGAACAGGATGAGAGGACATTAAGCTGCACCAGGGGAAGTTTAGGTTTGACATTAGGGAGAATTTCTTCACAGGAAGGCTGGAATGTCCCCAGGGAGGTGGTAGAATCACCATCCCTGGAGGTGTTTAAGGAGAGACTTAGTGCTGTGGTCTAGTTGACAAGGTGGTGTTAGGTCATGGGTTGGACTTGATGATCTCAGAGGTCTTTTCCAACCTGATTGATTCTGTGATTCTCTGGGCAACCACCCTCACATTAAAGCATTTCTCCCTAATATCTAATCTAAACTTACTCTCTCTCAGTCCATCCACGTGTCAGCTAAAAGAATTCAACTCATGCAGCTTTGTGCTCTCGTATGTTTTATTTTTGCCATGCACAGTTCTTGGAGTAGCAAGTCAAAATGTTTCTGCAACTAAGAGGAGTCAGGTGACTAAAGCCTTCTCTGTGTGTTCACACCATTTAGTGGGACGTGCTAAGTGTTGTCCCTGAACTGCTTTCCTCTAAAGGAATTAAATGTGTTGTAGTGATTCTATATTTCCATCTAGGTATGGAGACATGAGGAATAATAACAAATGAAAAATACTGACCTAGGAAGTGTTCTCAGAGGACATTTCTGGCTGATGCTTTTAATATAAAGCAGTGTTATGGGACATTTGTACATTCTATATTAAAACCAGGGGTTTGGAAGGGAGCCCAAAGGAAAGGAAGGAAGTTTATTTGCCTGCATAAAATTTTTGGTTGCATGTTAACACTAACCACCGTATCTCATGCAAAGAACTCCAAAATCTGCTTTCAATGGAAAATTTTATGTGCTGGAACAGGGAATCATATCCAAAAGTCTCAAATTAAAACAACTAATCAGCATAATGATAACCATAAGCCTTATATATTGATGGGATTTTCATTTGCAGTCTCTTAGCAATCGGTATTTTAGAATAAAAATGCAGTGGTAAGTGGCTATTATGGACCTGTGCTCATTAGCCTGTTCTCCTTCACTGGTGTTGAGATGTATTATTAAAAACTATTAATCTTTAATCGCCTGCTTTGGAGATTTGTACAGACCAGTGTAGAGATGTAAAACACAGGCTCAGGCTTAGTGAATTCCTACCTTCAGAAGGCTGTGAGATAACAAGTTTTGGTGGGTTCTTTCTTGTGGTTAAGCTGAAAACTCTTTTTTTTTCCTCTCAATTCCACTAAATTAATTTGTGAGTAAAACATTCCATAGGTACAAAGACACCTGAATTAACTCCTGAGCACCCTGGGCTAGTTGAAGGTGTCCCTGCTCATGGAATTAGAGGAGCTTTAAGGTCTTTCCAAGCCAAACCAGTCTGGGATTTCAGCAGAAGCAGGTGGGAGCAGGGTGGGACAGACACTTGTGAGCTGGTTCTGCAAGAGCTACCATGGTGTTCTGGCTGTGTTCAGGCTGCCTCATTCATCCAGGCTGAGCTGTCTGCCTGTGCTCCCTCAGTCCCCAGGGTCTCCCCAGGAGTTCTTATCGTGCCTGCATCTCCCCCTGTACAGGTATCTTGTCTCCCAAGTCCCTAGATAGCAAAGAGGAGGCTTTGTGTCCTTGTAAAGATGTCTTTGGTCCTGATGCTGATGCAGGTCATCTGAGGCATCTTGGCATGTCATTGGCAGAGCTGTCTAGACCATGCAGCCAGAGTAGAGTCCAGGCAATAACATTAACAGCTGCCTCTGGTAATGGTATGTGAAAATGTTCCCATGGATCCAGAGGCTTTTCTTAGTTTTCTTTAAAATATTGTTCTTACTCAGAATGTCTTTGGCATCACTTTCTGGGAGACTATAAAGATGGGAGATGAATTCTCCACTGTGTTCACACCCACTGTGAAAGAAACAGACTCACTTTATAAAACCAGAGCACTTTGCAGAGACAGGTGGTGCCTTGAGAACCTAATTTGCATTCCAAACCCAAGCAGGAGTGGTGTTTCACCTGAAGAAAGAGGAGGTATGAGGAGAAACAGGAGAGTGGGTTGAGAGGCTCAATGAGTACATAGGGAAAAGCAAGAGAAATAAAAATGTAGGTTCACACATGTTTTAAAAGGTAACTTTGGCATGACAGGGCTGTAATTCCACCTCTGTTCAGGTAACTCCATGAGCCACTCAGACTTTGTGGTCTGACATCCCTGGATTCCCTCAGTGGAATTACAGCATCATAACTCGCAGCAGCTGTTCCTGATTAGACTCGCTGTGCAGTGCATGGAGCAGAATTCCTCCTGCCAGCTAGCAGTAATATTTCACAGCTCTGAAGTAAAGGAGGTCTGTATTTCACAGTTATGACAACATAGCTGTCAAATATGGCTTTGTAAAGTGTTACATACGAACCCAGACAGTTTTTATGGTAGCAATTGTTTAAGGGGGCAACTTAAGGTGAGTCTGAAATTCAGCTACTTGAGAAACTGTCTTTTGCACTGTTAGAGCTATTAAGTTCAGCCTCGAGGTGCTCTGGTTCAGGTCTCCACCCAGCTGTGGTGGCTGCTGCCTGCGCAAGAACACCTGGGTCAGGTTTCACTGGGAAGGATGTGGGGATATAGGATTGTAGTTGCTTGCACAATGTCCTCTGAGCTGTTCTGAGCAGCTCTGCCTTTGGCTCCACTTGCTTGGGGTAACATTGTCCAACTTCTATTCAATGAATCGCAGAATCCCAGAATGCTTTGGGTTGGAAAGGAAAGGACCTTAAAGCTCATCTCATCCCGCCCCCTGCCATGGGCAGGGACACCAAACTGAATTGGAAGAGAAGTTGTATTCCATCAGCAAATCCAAAATGTCAGAACTAACTAGATATTACAACTCACGTGGCTGTAAACAGTTGCAGTACCTCTTCCTTCAAATGTTTCCTTTCTCAATTTAGAAGTGACAGAAACATAAATGAAAATGCTTTAAGCAAGCTTTAACTGTCAGCCTCACTTGAGGGAATTTCTTCCCAATATCCCATCTATCCCTGCCCTCTGGCAGTGGGATGCTATTCCTCCTTGTCCTCTCAAGTCAGCGTGGTTAGTGCTATGCTGGACATCCTCCCCTATAAGACAGTGGACTTGATTTTTCAGAGCTCCTTTTTAGCAGCAATTCATGTGCCTCATTTAAAAGAAGAGTAAAAATAGAACAGCCTGAAACTCACCTGTCTGTGAGCTGACTTTGGTTTCTCTGCCTCTGAGGAATTTTGAGGGTGATCGGACACAGGAACAGGTTGCCAGTATCCCTGGAGACAGTCACAATCCACCTGGATGCAGTCCAAACCCACCAGTTCTGGTTGCCAGCAAGGACACTGGATTAGATGATCTCCCGAGGTTACATCCAACCTCATCTATTCTGTGATTCTTTAATGATTTACTGCACACAAAATAAGAAACTCGGAACTATTTACATCAAAAAAGGATTGTTCTTCAGCCTCGCCCTTTTCTACTTGTTGCACATGTCAAAACTCTGAGGCTTTTCCTGCTTGTGGTGATTAACAGTTTCCACAGCACGTGGCTTTGATTTGAGTCGTGCAGCTAGAAATGACAACACGTTTCCTCTCTGCTGTTTATCATATGGAAAAATTAGCTATGCAAATGACATGGGAAAGCAGGAAGCTGAGCCCATGGTCCTTGTGTAGCTTACAAGGGTTTGGTGTTGAAATTCAATGGCTGTTCAAGAGGAGCTGAGCTGCAGGTAAAACCATGTGTAACGAAGCTGGTGGGAAAATACACATTAATCTCTTCTCAGTCCTTCACCTCCAAAGATACTAATTCATATTTTCCTACATTTAATTGACTGTGAAGCTTTACAAGATTTATGGGTCCCATCAAGCCATAGCAGGCTGTTAAATTTAGGCTGAAGTTGGTTTTCTTGGTTTTAGCTGGCTCTGCTGTTGAAATTGAGGTATTAATTGCAATGCTTTGCTCTTGGAGCCAAAATTTCAGCACCTAATATGTGTTTCTCTCCTGCTTTTTTCCAACCAGAGTTGTACCCATGGCTGGCATGATAATTTGACTAGATATTCCTTACAAAATGGTTAGCAATCTGTGGAGGGAAGGCTGTAGGAAATGAGAGGTTGGGGAGGAGGATTAATTGAAGAATGCCTTCTTCCTTTCTTTTAATTTCTCTTAAGATTGTTAAAGCTGTTATCACAGTTTTCCATGTTGGAATTTTTAATTAGTGCTATGACTTTGGGATTTATATGTAGATTTAGGCCGAAGTGCTCAGCCTGTGCCGAGATGTCACAGACAAAAAGGGATGTGCAGCCAAATCTTCAAAGCAGCTCTGCAAAATGGGAGGCATTTGGCACTGGCTGAGTGAGGCTGAGATAATGCTGCTCAATATACAGGTTTATTGCTCTTGTGCTGTAATGGTGTTTGTTCTGCTTCTGGGGTTTGAGAACTGCTGATCTGTCCATTAGCCTTTCCTTGCTAGGAAAGGCAAGGAAACGGCAAGGAAACAAGGAGGTATGTCCTGGTTTGTGAGGAGAGATGTGAGGGAGAGGTCTGTGCAGTAGGCAAAAAAGTTTTAATTGCAAAATATAAGGAGACTAAGCATGAATCCCTTCTGACATAGAATCTGTCCCTCCCACAGTCTCTTACAAAACAGCTGCTACTCTCTTCTCCTCAGTAACAAGACACTGGATGAGAGGAAACAACCTCAAGTTGCATGACAGAAGGTTTAGGTTGAGTATTAGGGAAAATGTTCTCACAGAAAGGGTGTCAAGCATTGGAACAGCTGCCCAGGGCAATGGTCGGTCACCATCCCTGGAAGTGTTCGCGCAACATGTGGATGTGGCACTTGTGGACATGTAGTGGTGAACACGGTGGTGGTGCTGGTTAATGGTTAGATTTGATGATCTTAGAGGTATTTTCCAACCTTAACTATTCTGTGATTCTTTGCAAATGGAAACCCAGCTGATAATATGAAGCAGAATAGGAAAGAATTAGAAAATGCCAAAGGTTTTGCCTTTGAAGTGAGTAATATTAGAACTGATTTGAGTTGATTAATTAAACATACATGTCCTTGAAATGGTTAAAAGTGACACTTGGCTCACCAGTCTTGCTTGGCAGTGTCTGAGGAAGGTTGCTTTGAGAAATTGGACAGAAGTAACCACTTCAAGGAGGTGATTTTGCCAACTGTTGACCATTTGGTTGAGAAGACAGAGACTCACTCAGCCTGCATTTTCTTTTACTCATAAGCACATTCAGCGAAGAAATGGAAAACGTAAAACAGTGATAGAATCCTGGAATGGAATGGGTTGGAAGGACCTTAAAGCTCATCACATCCCACCCCCTGCCATGGGCAGGGACGCCTTCCACTAGCCCAGGTTGCTCCAAGCCTCATCCAACCTGGCCTGGAACACTCCCAGGGATGGAGCAGCCACAGCTTCTCTGGGCAACTTGTGCCAGTGCCTCAGCACCCTCACAGTAAATCCAAAGGGTATTTCATTTCACAGCATCATGCTCTGAATTTCTCTCTGCTGTTCCAAGGGCAGAGCCTGAAGCAGTTACTGGTCACCATGCAGGAAGATGTCAGAGAGCAAAGTTTGGCCACAATTCGAATTTCACTGTAAATTTATAGGAAGTTTATCTGTTACATGAAAATTAAGAGCAAGTGGCAAACAACTTTTTTGCACGTGTTTAAATTTAGTTTCTACCTTACAAGTAATAGGTAGCTTTGGAAGGAACATTCTGACACTGCAGCTGTTGCCTCTCTGTTGTCAGTTTTGACCTTTGCATCTTCAAAGGAATATTTCAGCAGTTGTGTTTTTTTCCCTGTGCATCACAACTGTATCACCTATGGAGTGGTCAGTGCAGCATCTTCCATGCTGTGGATGCCTCCAAAGCTGTTCCATCTAGCAGAAGGAGCTTTGGGAATGCCATGGATAACATAGCACTACATAAGCTGTTGAGTTCATGTCAAAGTTACCCCTTGGAACTAATGAAAGATTTCAGAGCAGGAGTTCAGCTGTGGTTTCTTTTAGCCAAGGATTCTCTAATAGATCAAAATTGTAAATGTGAGGCTCAGTAGTTTCCAGGATTGTGATTTATAACTGCTGACAAATCCCTTCTTCAAGCTGTGTGTGCTCCTCATGTTTGTGTTTGTTTTTAATGGGGAATGTTTGAAAATGGATAAATATTCCTTTTGTCTGGTCTGAGATGTTAAGGGGGAAAAACAATGGTTATAAAGGGTGTTTTCTTTTTGCACACTCTTGAATCCTCTCTCTTCTAAATAAAGCACCAAAAAGTCCATCAGAATAAATACAGAAAAATGAACTGTGGTTGTTACAGGGAAGCCAAACTGGAATCTATTTATAGGTGACCATGTGAGAGGTACAGTGTGATTGCACTCAGGCTGTGGCTCCTCTTTCCACCTCTGAAAAGCACAATAATTCCTGACATTTGAAGCAAAAAATGACTTACAAATAAAGACTTTTGGACTTCACACTTAAACATTTACTTCAATATGTCTATATTACATATATATATACATAGTTATCTGTTGCAGCACTTATTTCTTGGATACTCTTTCATTGCATGACATAACCAGAAAGTAAATGCTAATTATAAGTGAAGGTTTATATATTTGGACACTGTGGTTTGACTAGTAATCTAGTCATAATTCAGCTCAGTTAAATTCCATAGTGGGGGACTGGGAAGCAGGATGGAAAGACAAAACCATGAGGGAATGGATTAGTGGTAGCCCTGAAGAAGCAAATGAATCACAATGGGACTTCTTAGCCATATAGCTATTTGTAAGAAACAATGTAAAAAAATGAATTGCCTGAAATATTATTAGGACTGAAGTAATGGAAATAGGAGGAAAAGTGAAAAACAAAGGCATAGGTTCAGGCTGGAGAGGAGAAGGGTTCAGGGTGAACTAATTGTGGCCTTGCAGTGCTTGAAGGAGCCTACAGGGAAGATGGAGAGGGACTATTTACAAGGATCTGGAGTGCCAGGACAAGGGGGAATGGCTTCTCACTGCAGAGGGCAGAGATAGATGGGATACTGGGAGGAAATTCTTCCCT